TACTTTTTCCTTCACGTAACCAGTACCCAGATCTATAATACATCTATAATGATAAATAAACGGAGATCTGGATGCAGAAAACATGAAGAAAGAGTTCATTTATGTATACTACTGACATTGTAACAGCAAACTTGTCCTTTAACTGCTTTAAAACTGTACACATTTAAAAAATGGTTTGATTTACTGGTTAAAGGTAAGGGTAGGCAATGTTTTTCATAAACACTTATTTTACTGGTTGAAACTCTTCACATGCTGATAACAATCAATAATAAAAGTGGTCTAAATATTAAATATCTTCTGTGGAAGTCTCAGGAGGACCAAAACATTTTCATCCAATGAATCATTGCATTCGGTCGGAATACAATAATAAGATGTTCTTCCTGCCGGTCAACATACAGTAGGCCTATGTGCAGGGGTTAAAGTGAAAAAAATTCCTGAGCCTGAACTTTTTTGGGGGGGGGGGGGCTTGTAGATGAACTTATCTTCAATGGCACCATTTATTTTCAAGTATTACAGCTGTATCTTAATGCCGTCTTTTTATGAATGAAAGCCAGTATCACTCATATCTACTGATGTCTCGATGAAAATGATTTCCGCCAAAATTTTAAACATTAGGCTTCAAAAAATATAAAAACCTTTAATTTAAGTGAACTTAAAACAATCCTCACTTAAACCCATAATAAATGTCATTTACCTGTACCATACAGAAATTGAATAAGGTTATAAAACAGTCCGCACATACATTTTAAATGAAATATAGATTAATCCTTATCAAAGCTACAAGCGTTCTTTAGTCGAGGGCAGTTAGTAATTTTCTCTGTTCTTTAGGTTAACTTTACTGACAGACAGAATTAATGGCTCCTGTCACTTTAAAATCTGTCGCTGCTGACAGGATCTCACGCATCTCATTCTCTCACTACTATTTACTTCCATTTAAGATTGTATTTAACTCATTTAAGACTGTTCTTGTGAGGATACTCGACAAAACTGACATTTTGGCATAAATGTGTGTGTTATTGTTCGTTCAAGCGCGAAAGAGAACTCGATACTGGCGCGCGTCTTTCTGTGCTTCTCGTGTGTGTGTGTGTGTGTGTGTGTGTGTGCGCGTGCGTCAGGAGGACATTCACTGAAAGCGCGTTCTCTTTTGTCTTGTCGCTCTCGCACATGAGTGGTTTAAAGCATTTGCGTGAATAAGAGCGTGATCATAACCCTAGCTAAAGGATGACTGAAAGAATGGATGCAGCGTTAATTGCTTAAATATTTTAACACAGCTGGACAAAAATGATTCGCATGCGAAAATAATAATTTTTTCCTCACGGCCGCACGCCGGAGATCCGGCACGGTGCCGGAATACTTTAAGCCCTGTATGTGTTTCCATACCTCCGCACACCCTGCTCTCGCGGACATCACACGTCACCGAGTGCCGCAAACAAACAGTAGCCGCCTTTTAGATTTCCTCCTGAACCAAAACAATGAGCTTATGCTGTGTTCACACCATAAATACCGTAATTAGGAGATGGCAACCCGTGACATTCTACTCGGGGTGGTTCACGTCCTCAGACTCGGATTTATGCATTTTTATGGCAACGCCGAAATGAATCCGCAACGGTCAGGTGGTACAAGTTAGCACTTTTTAAGTTGTTTACGTTCATTATTATTGTAATGTTATGTGCTTTGAGACATGAGGTAATTTAACTCTTGTCTCTTGTGACACTTTACAGACTGCTCTGGCTGTGCACGTTCATGTTTTGGAGGAGGAGTGGGTTTGGAGACGCTCTGAAGGGAGGGTGGGATCTTATGCTTTCAAAGTTAGCTTGCGAGTGAGGTTTACTCGCACAGCGACTACTAACTGGCCTCCGTTACACTCACCCCCCTAAACCTCACTCCCATCCGGGTCACGGCACCAATGTAACCCCTCCACCCGGGTCCTACTCGCCCCGCTCTGTGCGGGCCTCGAACCCGGGTCTCTGGTGTGAGAGTCAGGCGCTCTAACAAGGAGGCTAAAGACTGCAGCCTCTAGCGTCTGTCGCTAGAGCGCCTATTGAGATCAGAGGAGTGAGGTTTACTCGCACAGCGACTACTAGCCGTTACACTAGCCTCTCCGAAATTGCCAACCCTACCTTTAAATCTAGCTGGTTTAAGGAGTTGATGTACTATTTACATATACTAGCAACATTGTAACAATACAACACTGGTTTTAAAAAATCCTGTGTACAAATTTACCAAAAGTATCACTTACCCATTCAGAAGTTGAGGTATTTCAATTTTTAGAAGTCTTTTATGCACCAACCACATATTATGCAGTGTAATCATATCGTTCTTTGACACCAGTAAAACAGTAAAAGCTTACCGTGGGTGACTTTGGGGTCCAGCTGGCAGGACAGACTTCACCATGGGTTTCCACAAACTGGAAGGCCTTGACCAGACGGATGGTTTCCTCAACAGAACGTCCAACCGGCAGGTCATTTACACTCATGTGTCGGATCACTCCATTGGGATCAATAATGAAAAGACCCCTATAATGTGAAACATCATTTAGTGATGGATAATTTGCTAAAAAAGGCAAACTATCCAGCTTAGCAATGCATGAAAACAAACATACAGATACAGGAAATAAAACAAATGTTTGAGAATGTCTAAAATAAAGTAATCCAAGTACATGATTGATTAAATGACGTTACCTTAAAGCAATTCCAGGACCCTCAAGCAGGACCCCATAGTCTCTGGACACTTGCTTTGTGAGATCAGCCAACAGAGGAATGTGGATTTTCCCTAATCCTCCACTCTAGACAAACCAGACGTTAGTTGGCAAGCTTAACATTTGGCATGAATTTGATGCTAGTTTCCCAATCCCTTGATGCTATTTAGAGAACTGAGAATGTATAAACCGTAATGTGCACAATGTCAATCGTTGCACTGTCTGAACAGCCTGTATACGCTGTGTATGTTTAATTTCAGTCAACTAATCAATAGGGCCTGGTAAACAATGCAAAGTGACAACTGTATTTAGCTGCAGTGTGTACATAAGTATAAACCTTTCTCGGGGTGTTGGTCCAAGCCAGGTGGGTAAAGTGAGAGTCCACAGAAACACCGACTACTTGACAGTTTACATCACGAAACTCATTGGCTTTGTCACTGAAGGCGATGATCTCTGTGGGGCAAACAAAAGTGCTGCCGAGTGGGCAGAAAAAAAAGCAGCATTAAAAACAACAGTATATCGTTTAATCAATAATCCTAGAATGATGTAGAAATGTAATTACAATTGAGATATAAATAATGAGACAATCTTATGCATGAGTGAACGCTGTATTTCCACACTCCATAAAGGTTATTTAAAAATTATTAGTGTACTACACCAATGAACTTCCGTTAAATTGTTCCAGTTTATTGTGAAGAAAATGTACAATGAAAAACTTACAAATCTAGTGGGTAAAAGAAAAGGACCAGGTATTTGCCCTTGAAGTCTTCTAGGCTGATCTCCTTGAACTCTCCATTGAGAACAGCAGTGCCTTTGAAATGTGGGGCCTGTTGAGTGACTGATGGGGCCCATCTTGCAGTGGCTGATATTTACAAACATGCATGATAGATTAGCAAAGATAATACTATATTTAATTAAGGGCAAAAACTCAAACTCTTATAAGACTTACTGATTGAGAAGCAAGCTTTTTGTGCAGCAATGCAAGCAAGGGATTGTGGGGCCCTGATCACTGATGGTCCATTGTGAGGGACCAAGACATTCAGTCCATTAACTGCAGCTCTTCTTGCCTGTTGTGAAAAGGAGGGAGATAACGTTACACGAAAGAGTCGTTACACAAGTAAGTTAACTTATCGCTTTTCAACAGATAGCACCATCCCCTAACATCGTGCACATCGCGTACAAATATCTCAAACTATAAAGTCCTGCTTAATAAGAGGCGCTTTTCCACGAACACTGTAAAGTTACACTTAGGTAAACACATTTGTAGTGAGATTAGGTTTGTTTCAATTCTTTCATCTAACATAAATTGGATAATTTTCACGTTAGGTTAAAAATACATCAAGTAATTAAAAACAAAAAGATCTGCACAAGCTACATGTAACAATTGTTTATGTATTCTCCTGACAGGTATTTGACAGTGTACATTGTATAAGCTGTTTAAAGGTTAAATACCGTGAAACGTATCTGCTGACCAAACGACGACTAACAGAGTTTAACCAAATTACACTTGAACCTAAATGTAATTCAGCACTTGTTTCTCGTAATAATGTTTCGCAGCAGAAATCTTTTTTTATCGCTACTGCTAAATGAAACTTACAGAAGTCCTGAGAAGTCTCCCGATGGTGGCTGCCATCTTGCTAATGTGCTCAATGAATGCAGAGCGCAATAAAACACCTTGAGCATCAAAGTTGCGCACTAATTTTGCATTAGTTGCGCAGCACACGCACACCGATACAAGAAGTTGCTTAAATAATTGTTTAATAATACAAATATATAATAGATAAATTGGTGCCGACTGATAACTATAAAATCATGTAAAGCCTGACATAATAAATAAAAGTCCGAAAAATCTATTTTATAGGCTATAAGGTTTGCATACAGTGTCGTGTGGAAGATTGTGTACAAAACTTTTTTCAGCAAAGCCTAAACATGTTGATAATTTTGCCATATAAATTCATGTATCAAATATAAGATTTGTAGGGTTTATTATTCAAAACAAAGAAGTATTTAATTGAAATGGAATTAATTGAATTATTTAATAGGCAATTATGTGTCAAATAACAATACTTTCTGTCTTTTAACTTATATTTGATGGCTCTTTTACGGTGTTAGTGAAAAATTTGTCTTGGCCATAGACAGTAACAGTCTACTCTTGACGCGCTCCCTTTTTTTTCTTTCTTGACGCGCTCCCTGATCATGCCGGAGTGTAATTGGATGATGCCTGAGCACGTGACATGCGGAAGCGTCGCAGACTTTTAAGTATGTCTCATCTGCGTGACCTACACAAGTTAAGCTTTGTAAAATGAAATGAATTGATAATGCTTGTAGAGCCGTCATTAAAAAGCTAAAATGGACCCCAACTTGCAGTACTGGCAAACCAATGGACAGGTACTTTCTTGAATCTGTGTGTCGTTTAAAAATCACGTTTTGATTTATATTTGTCTTGTTCGTGAAAATGATGATATCAGCGACAAATAAATAAATAAATGAATCATTTTGCAGTCTTTTCTGAGCAGACTGCGTCTCTGGTTTAACATCCTTGACCCTCGTTATGTGTTGTCATCACAGGTGAGAACCAGCAGCATAATCAGCACATGTACATACTGTAACATCACATCAGTACTGTCAATTGCTTCTTATAGAATGCCTATATGAACAGTATCTCACGCAATATACAGGATGAAAAGAACGTTATGATATTTGTCCCTTACATATAACATTGTTTACATTTAATAGATGACAACATACATAATATGAATTTTCCTTTAGGCTGAAATTGAGGAGGCCCGGATACTTCTTCAGAAAGAGGGAAATAAACAGAGAAATGAAAAAGTAGGCTGCACAATATGTTTATTAATTAATTAATTAATTAATTCATTCATTCATTCATTCATTCATTCATTCATTTATAACACTATTCCTATCTCTTTCTAGGTTGCTAATGCCTGGTTACTGTCTCTTGTAAGTGAATGAATTTACATTTTTCAAGTAAACATGACAAACAAGTATAGATATTCACTGATTCTTCAGACACAGGACAAAAGAGGCTACAGAATTGAAATAATACATTATTTTGTATCAATATGTTCACTTCACATATTTTTAGTGTGATCTCTTGCTTCTTCTATTGTTTCACAAATGATAATGTGTATGTGAATGTGTAAAGAGTGCTCTGTGGATCACTTCAAAATGGAAATGTTTAAAAGTAATAGAGTACTTTTATGGTTTGATAGAGTTTTAGAGGCGGGAATTGATTGGATGGTTGAGGTTTGCTATTACTGTAATCTCATGTCGTCCCACCCTCGTGCTGAAAAACATGCCATCAGAGGGATATTATTTTGATTAAAGACTATGAGGACAAATACATTTTTAAAAGATAATAATGTGCACGGATAAATCATTTTTTGATTTCATGGTGACTTTAACATTTTTTGTCAATAATGTTGTTATACATTTTTTTTAGTCTTCTGTCCATGCTGATACTGGAGCTGTAATCTCACCAGTGTTTCGTCCTCAAGGTATAATAACACACTTGAGGTTTTGTGTTTTCTGTAATTTTGCTTTAGAGATATTTATTCATTTGTGTGAAGCAATTTGCATTCATTTGAATTGAAAATGTTCTTTTGCTTCTCTGATGACATCTACTTCTTGTTTGTTTTCAGGTTTTCTACCTATATCTGCTCCCTTGGTGAGTTTTTAATTTCAGAATGTGCTTACAATGTACTGGAGATGAGCAGCTTAAAATGTAAATTAGTGAGTTGTGAGTTTTTATAATCCACAAATGAATATACACATATTTTTGTTTCCACAGGTTGTTGCAAGTTTAATACCCCACAAAGGCATTAAACATGCTTTGTTTTGGCAAGTAAGTACATTATACATTTATGTCTTCATTTTAGTTTTTTCTTATCAACTATACATTTTTGTGACAGTTTTTGCTATAGTTTTTGCTTCAGGCATACTGTGCAGGATTCAACCATTCTAACAGAAATGCAACAGCAACTAAGGTAAAGAATTATATTTTAAATCAAATTAAAAACTGCTTTGCTTAGCAAACTATTTTAACCACAGTGTTAAATCCCAGGACGTATTTTCTTTTCTTTTGTGTAAGTGAGTAATAATAATAATAAGAGTGTTCTGATACAGGATTTGAATTGTTATATTTATTTAACTTTTTTTGCCTAGGATAACACAACATCAATGAAGCAGACAATTCTTATGGTTGGAACAGTTTCCTACTCAACATTTGCAGGGGTACGAGACATTTTTGTCACTGTCCTGTTTTCTCAGTCAATAAACCATATTCATCTGATGATTTTATGTTTGGAAAATTGTTGACACAGGTGTGTGAAACTCATGAAACCTGTCAAGGTTCAAGGGTCATGTCCGGGTAATATTTCACCCCCTGAAATTTAAAAGAAAGAAAAAAGATTATATTTAGTTTACAGAAAATTAAGCCTAATTTAGCACCATTCAGATTTTGAGCATTATTATTATTATTTTAATAATACACATTATTGTGTATGACAATTAGGCACACGGTTTCTCTAAATTTTAGTTTTTTTCGACACATCATTTGTTGTATTTTAATAGTACAGATAAATATTTTCTTTTGATTTTGGGGTGAAATGTGACCTGCATATGCTCTCTTTCCAGGCTCTTCCACAGATTATACTCCAGCGTTTTAGACTCTTCAGTGCTGTGATTGAGACCTTCTGTAGATCCGTGTTACCTATTCCTCTCTCAGGTAAGAACACCAATGTATATACACACAATACACCTTGCATAGTTACTCCATTTCATACATATTCCTGATCTAAAGTCTGCATTCTAGTGTCATAATAATACCATTGAAGGGTTTTGAGTCAAACGTGGTTTTCTAGCCTGTCTAGCTGCATTCAGTGTAATGGTGGTGAGAAGTGAAGAGTCCGACAATGGAATACAAGTGTTTGATTCTAATGGGAATGCTGTCGGAGTCTCAAAGGAAGCTGGTTCCAAGGTGAGACTGCAACAAAACCTTATTCCACCAAAGCTCCTTATCATTAAATTACTTAAATATATACTGATGAGCCAAAACATGACCAGTCACAGGTGAAGTGAATATCATTGATCATCTACTAACAAGGCCACATATTAAGGTCTGGGCAGATTAGATGGTAAGCAAACAATCAGTTCTCATTATCAATGTGTTGGATGCAGGAGAAATGGGTAGGAACTAGGAATAAAGAATTTGATGAGGGCTAAATTGTTATGACAAGGCGACTGGGTCAGAGTATCTTAAAAAATTCAAGGCTGGTGTGTTGCTCCTGGTCAGCAGTGGTGAGAATTTACTAACAGTGGCCAGAGGAGGGACAAACCACAAACAGGGTGTTGGGCGCCCTGGGCTCATCGCTGTGTGAGGGCAACGAAGGCTATCCCATCTAGTCTGGGCCAACAGAAGGTCTACTGTGCCACAAGTCACACAAAATTCGAATGATGTTTGCACTCTGCTGCGGATGGGACTGTGTAGCCGCAGACCAATCAGAGTGCCTATGATGACCCGAGCGTCAGAACTGGATCGCCTTGGGAAGGTCGCCGATGAGTCCCATTTTCTTTTACATCACGTGGCTGTGTACATGTGCACCGTTTACTTGGGGAAGTGATTGGACCAGGATACACTGTGGGATGATGACAACCTGGTGGAGGGAGTGTGGTGCTCTGGGGAATATTCTGCTGGGAAACCCTGGGTCTGGCCATTCACGTGGACGTAAATTTAACACATGCCACATACCTAAGCATCGTTTCAGACCAGGTACACCCCTTCATGACAATGGTGTTCCCCAGTGGAAGTGGCCTCTTTTAGCAGGATAATGCACCCTGCCCCACTGCACACATTTTTCTGGATTGGTTTGAGGAACATGATGAAGAATTCATGGTGTAGCCCTGGCCTCCAAATTCCCCAGATCTTAATCCAATTGAGCATCTGTGGGATGTGCTGGACCAACAAGTTCAAGCCACAACAGCTCCACCTCGCAACCTACAGGACTTAAAGGATCTGCTGCTAACATCTTGGTGCCAGATACTACAAGACATCTTCAAGAGTCTTGTAGAGTCCATGCCTCAGCAAGTTGGCGCTGTTTTGGCAGCACGTGGATGACCAACAGCATATTATGCAGGTGGTCATAATGTTTTGTCTCATCTGTGTATATTCTTCACATGTAATTGGTATTCGATGATGTCTCACATCTAATCATTCATGGATCATTTGGTTTCTACCATCATGTTTTGGTCTTAGGCCATAAAGGAAACAGCCATCTCAAGAGCGGCTCTCTTTGGCACCACTGCAGCTGCTCCCAGTTTTCTGCTGGCTCTCCTTAAAAGGTACAAGTCAAAACCATTTGCTTTCTGTTTTACAATTTGATTCTTAAAAGTTTTGATTGTCTAAATATGAAATCTTCTGTCAATGTTTCAGGGCAAAGTTTGTCCAAAGAAACCCCATGATAATCGCTCCTGTTCGGCATGTCAGTACTGCCATTATTTTTGGCCTGATGATTCCTGTGTCCTTTAGTCTTTTTCCACAGTTTGGCAAGGTAACACACATTAGATAACTGATGTTTGTTAAATGTTAATGCTGATTCATTATATACATTTACCATTTTATTTTGTAAATAAATTCAGACAAGCAACCTATTTTTTGTTTGCAGATAAAGAGGGAGAATTTAGAAGAGGAGTTTCAGTCACTTGAAAGTAATGGGGAACTGTTTTACCACAGAGGACTGTAATGTTGCTATTGAAAACTTGCTTATTTGAGGGCGACTGTTTGCTGACATGAAATGACAATGGAAACAATATAGAATATACTAAAAGTTCACTGCATTTCAACAAAAATTCTAAATGGTGTACATTAGAAGTATTAAAAACATGCACTCTTTTTTCCAAAGGATTTATTTAATTCTGTACTACTGCTTAATGACCACATTAAGAAGTACAGCTGTACAGGTTTGAATTCATATGAATTTAATAGCTAAATTCACTGCATTGAAATGGATTTGACTAAATAATAACACTTAAACAATTATACCTGTCCCTCACTCTGTTTGTTAGTGTCAATAAAGTTTCTGTCGCCACTCATGTATACTTTTTTTTGTATATTTAATGATCACACATGCATTTAAAAAAGTATCCAAGGAAACAGCATTTTACAACTCTCTGAAAATTATCACAATGTTTAAGAAATTAGAGATTAACAGTTTAAACATCCTCTTTTTTCAGTATATATTGCACACAACACATTATCAGAAAATCTTCTATGATCTATTATTTAGGCAGAGGATAGCCCTTGATAACAAGGGGTTTTCAGATTAAAGGGATAGTTCATCCAAAAATGAACATTCTGTCAGTAATTACTCACCCTCATGTTGGTCTAACCCCGTAAGACTTTCGTTCATCTTCGGAACACAAATAAGATATTTTTGATGAAATCTGAGAGCTGGATCACTCCTCCAGAGGCTTCTATTGTGATTGAAACCTGCCGGCCTAGAAAGTTAGTAAAAACATCGTTAAAATAGTCCAAGTGACTAAAGTGGCTCAACCTTAAGTTTATCAAGCGACGAATACTTTTTGTGCGCCAAAAAACTAAAATAATGACTTTATTCAACTATTCATTTTCTTCTGTGGGTCTTTGAGTGAGTTCACGTAGTGTAACAGTGCAGCGCTTCTGGGCTGTACGTCAGAACGTAGGCTCACTTTTGGCCAGCATCACACGCATCATACACATGACCAGCGTCGGCCAATAGTGAGCCTACGTTCTGCGCTGTTACACTACATGAACTCCCTCAGAGGCCCACACAGTAGAAAATGAATAATTGAATAAAATCGTTGATTTTTATTATTTTTTTGCACACAAAAATTATTCTCGTCGCTTGATGAACTTAAGGTTGAGCCACTGTAGTCACTTGGACTATTTTAACGATAGTTTTTACTAACTTTCTGGGCCGGCAGGTTTTAATTACAATAGAAGCCTATGGAGGAGTGAGACAGCTCTCAGATTTAATCAAAAATATATTAATTTGTGTTCCGAAGCTGAACGAAAGTCTTACGGGGTTAGACCAACATGAGGGTGAGTAATTACTGACAGAATTTTCATTTTTGGGTGAATTAAACCTTTAATAAGGAGATTAAACATAAAACATATAAAGGAATGCTCAAGTCAATATTATATGGAAATGCAAAATGTGGGAACAAACTTCCATCCCACAGGAATGACTTTGTATATTTAAATTAGAGTATATAATCATAAAAAGTACTCTTACAGGAATACACCTACAGATTGTTAATTAACATCCTGACTTTATGATTAGGTTTTGGCACTCAATAGTTCAGTAAAAAAGTTTTCAGTGGCTTTACATTCTGAATTTAATGGGACCCTCTAGAGCAATTCAATTTGTTTAACTGAACAATTACTATAACAGTATTATTATTTTACAGCTAAACAAATGTTAGGCATTAACTAGGCAACCGTCAGCCCTTTGATATTGGTGTGCAATTAAGAAATATTATAAAATTTCTAACAACCTGCCAATACCTTGAAAATACTTTCAGAGATATAAATATAAATTGTTCATTGGCTCAAGATCTAAATACTACCAAAAAGGTTTGATTAATAATAATTATTTACCTCAAACCTGTGTTATTACTTAGAAATGTCACATTCAACATTCGTAATTGCACCCATCATGTTATAGCTATGTGTTGTACTTCTATATCTTTATATTGTCCCAATAAAACTTATTTTCCCATTTACAACCCTGATATTAGAGATTATCCAAATGTTACAATTCATTTTGTGAATGATTCCACTTTGAAAGGCAAGTTCCTATCTCAGTGATTATTGTGAGGCATGCCAGTTGGACAGGATGCACTGATTGGTCAAATCTTCAAGAGTTGCTCAGCTGCAGCTAAGTGGAAGAGGAAGTTTTCAGTCGCTGGAGGGTAATGCCGCTGCTTCAGAGTCTCCAAAGTCAATTTGGAGTTGTCTGCTTCATCAGCAAGAGACATCAGATTACTGAGGATTTCTTTAGTTTTTACTGAAATATCCTGGAAACAGATTGAAAAAAAAAGGGTTGGATTAAATCTACAGTGTTGCAGGATTTCCAAGTCTTGTAAAATTGAAATGCTTCAAAAGTAGATTGTGCTACAGCTATATGACGTTTCTTTGCTAATACTTAGGACCTTCTTCTTATTACTTGCCTTAATAACCTGTGCATCTGTGCGATCAGTGTCCTCTGCAGCCTGGACAATGAAGTTGCCGATCTCTTTATGAAGTTTTCCCATAGCCATTGCCTCTGAAAAAACAAGGCATGGTAAGTGGTACATGACAATTCTACTTAGTCTCTATCAATCTGTAAAGCAAAATTTCTCACCTTTGGCATTTTGTGAGACCGTGATCTCACTGTCTGGTAGATTTACATACACATCAAACAGGTCTGATCGGTCTCTGACTTCAGCATCGACAAACCCTGCAACATACCCTACAGAGATAGTGAATAAGATCCATAAACATTGCAAGAGTGATAACAATAAATCTAGTTTTGGGAGAAGGACCTGTTTTCCCTCGTACCTGTACACAGCTTGAGGTTTTCCAGCTCATTATTATCCAGATGAACAAAAGGCTGGAGTATGGACCAGTCTTTTCTATGCCATACTAGGCCAGGAAGAGCTCTGGTTTTAAAAAGAAAAACACATTTACCACTTCCAGCCTTTTTAATGCATGACGGTTATCGTTAACATGCTCAAAAGTTTGGGGTCAGTACGATTTATTTTGGTTTTCTTCTTGAAATAAATTAATCAATCAATCTATGAGACCCCAATGGTTGACCGTTTATCCTTACATGATGTGCAGAAAGAAAGAAATAGAACCATAAGCACCTGCTGCTCTTTGTTACAGCACCACAGGACATAAACACTAAGATACTTAAATTCAATGTGACATGCAGTTTTCAACCTATTTTACTTCCATACTCTGACATTTCTAGTTTGAATTAATGTACATCAATGAATCATGCACAATGCGATTAGGAATGTACATAGTCAACTTTGATTTCATGTTAACTTAATGATCATGTTGTGCAATGAAAATGTCCATGGTTACCTTGTGAACTCCAGCAGCGCCTCAATCCGTGGGTGATAGACCACCACTCTTTTTTTCAGCATTAGTGCTGTGTAAAGGATGATGGTCTCCATACCAAATTGTGACACAACATCTAAAATAAAGATAAAAAAAATATAGCAAACTGGATACCATACATAAATGTCTTACAGAATTGAGATGCTTTCTTGAAAGATTTCTCAAATAACAACCATGAAGCCAATTGGACCAAATGGCTATGGTACCAAAAGTAAGTAAACATCAGATGATTTTAGCAGTTAATTTTTTTTTGCTTCATGTTGCCATAAGTGCTTGTAATGTTTATTTAAAGGTGCACCCCTAACCTTTTAAGGAGCCACCCAGGTAGGCCTTCCTGACGTCATAATCTTTGATAAGGAAGGAACCGTTCTCATCACTCTGGCATATCCCTTTGGTCAGAACAGCAATGTAGCCTTCCATCATCTTCACAGGACTTCCATGTTTAATATACATCCTGAGCAAAAACAATGTTAAAGATGCAACATCACAAACACACAAAAACTTGGTGTATGTCCTTAGAAATGATTTAATGACAAACAAAAGATGCTTAATGAAAGTAATAATGCTAAATGACCAATTATTGAAACTCAAAACAAAAATCTACACTCAAGTGGGAACCTCTACTTTGCGCACTAAATGGTTTTTACTTAAATTAAACCTACCTGTACAGAACTCTACTGAATGCAGCATATTTTTCAGGGTTGAAGTCCTTAGCTGTGACAACTATTGAGAAATGTGTCACCTTTGAATGAAATTGAGCAGTCAGTTAGCAAGCCGGCATGATTCTGATCATTTATTTAGATTAAAAATAAGTACCATCTGTCTACAAAGCATTCAGCACTTACGGTGAAAAGCATGTAATGAGACATACTAAGCTGTCAGATTTGTCACAAAAGAAGTTATAATTGCAATATATTATAGCATATAATATAGCAGTGCTTCTCCAAGGCCCCTTATTGTCCACAACAATATTCAAACAATATATACCCCTACCCCTAGTTTTGTTTTTTAAAAATATATAAAGGTTTTACAAGATTGGGAAAAGTTTTTAAAGGAAACAAACAGTTGTTGAGAGGGTAAATATTAGTGCTGACAAATCGATTAATCGCATCTAACATAACAGTTTGTGTTTACATAATATGTGTGTGTTTGTATATTTTTAAATTTATATATATAGGTGTTTGTGTGTGCATAACTGTCTATATGAAGAAAGAAAGTCATTCATTCAGGTTTGGAATGACATAAAAGTTGGGTAAATGAACAAATTGTTCATTTTTCGTTATTTGAGCACAGGTTTGATAGCTTTCAGGATGGCAGTGGTGTCCTAATTATGAAGTTTGGTACCTTTTTAAGCACAGTTGGCTCCTGAACCTCGACAGTGGTGATGTAGTACCAGGTTCTGCAGTACTGTCCGAATACAAACGTGTGCAGCACCCGATTGTCCAACGTCAGGCAACATTTTCTCAACAGAACCTCTCGCAGATCAGCACCAATGGAAGGATAGCACCAAACCCAAAGCGTGTCTGCATTTACATCTTTCTCTGTGTATGGGGGACAAATTCAATTACTGACGAAGTAATCAACTAAAGGGACAGTTTACCCAAAAATATTCTGTCATATGGCCTTTTTCTTTAGCAGAACACAAAATGAGATGTTAGACTCAGTCACCATTTACTTTCACTGAATCCTTTTTCCAATTTCCACTAAATGAAAGTGAATAGTGACTGACAAAAAAGTGCTGTCACTCTGCCTAACAACTCATTGTGTTTTCTTTAAGTTTTTTTTTTTTTGTGGGGGGTGAACTAATGCATACAATGTACATACAAATGTTATCTTGTCCCGTTATTTTAGTCTTACCAATAAGTCCAAGACTCAGCATCAGGTCAGATGTAGCCATATTCCATTCCTTGTCCACGTTAATCTGTTTCTAATAACTTACGTTAATGATTTGTGAGCAGTTATGTCTACAGCAGTTTGGAAAGCAGATGAAAAGGTTTTTCAGAGCGAACAGACACAACCCATTGTCAAATATGCCGGGACAGTCTATCCAGAAAACAATTAAAATGCCAAAACGGTTCTCCTTTCAAAATAGATGTTACTAGTGTTGAATCCAGAGTTTTCTTTTGATAGCCTAACGTTAGCGTTACGAATTATCAATTAGTTTCTAGTATATCAGTGTAGGTGAATCAGTTGTGGAATTGCAATAATTCCGGCAAGTATGTGTATCAAAGAAATATAAAAATAAAATGAAAACTTATCATGAACAGTGGCTCTCCACTACTGGTCAAGTGACCAACATGCCTTCTTCCGGGTTTTATTTCTCCGAGTTCAACCAAAATATTCAGAAACATACTGCCATCTAGTGTGTTGGTGCGTTTAAAGTTCAAACCATAGACTGTAAAAAAAAATAGGTTCAAACACTATAATAAATCCCAGCAGCATTGAAATAGAAATTATAGTAAACTATAGGCGTACTAAATTATACATTTTCAAATAATCAGAAAATATCACAAAACTAGGAGCAACTATACAGATGTTCCTTCAATGTCCAAATTAAACCTTACTCTTAAAAATTCACCACATGCATAAATATCATTGATTGATTTGAATTGAAGATTTTAGGTAACAAAGAGATTTAATATATCTAGTTCTAACTTTAATTGTGTCCGCTTTTTTAAACATTTATTTTAACAAGAAGAAAGAAGTGTTGTGAAATTTTACTAGTTTCCCTTGTTAAATTTTAAACAAAAGACAGAATTAGAGGTATACATGGCACGAAAAAAAAATCTGTATCATTTATCATTAGCTATGTTGTTCCAAACCTGTAAGACTTTCTTCTGTGAAACATAAAATAAGTTATGTAATGCTTGGCAGGCACATAATAAAAATTGTTCATAGAATAGTTTTAATTAATTAATACTTATACAATATACCATGCAGTATAATTGTTACTATGTGTTATTTAATTTAATTGTCATGCTTTAAAAAAAAATATATTTACTTTTTTTTTTACCCTTAAGTGTTTTGTATCCGATGGGGATACACAAATGTATTGAAAGGTCAAATTCAACAAAGTTCAACAGCCATCTTATGAATAATGTGAATAATGAATAATTTATAATCCTATAAATGTCTACAATAAAAGGCATCCGATTGAATTAGTCATAATGTGTCAAACTGTTCTTTCACATTCTGGAGGAAATTTATTTCCTTTTTTTAATGGTTGAAAATTTTACAGTTCCAAAGTTACACGGGCTTTCGTCAGATTCGTCTTGGGTAACATTTCAGTACTGATGAATTTATTTAGGCCTATATTTAATTAGCATGTTATTGCATCATGTCTGTCATCTGAACTGTAGATGAGCCCGTGGAGGAAGTGTGTGCGCGCGCACACACACACACACACACACATACGGGAACTCTCGTCTTCGTCGCCGGGGTGCAGTTCACGTGCGCTAGTCCTTTCTTGCTTGAGCGGCGAGAAGTCACAGCGCGGATGGGCAGGCAGAGTCAATAAAACAGCCTCGACAACCTGAAAACCGCCTGCTAGCAAGCTATAACAATGCCAGCCTATTTCCAGAGACCGGAGAACGCTCTTAAACGAGCAAACGGTGAGTGAATATTGTAACCTGCCGTCTCTTGGACTGTAGTCGTGAGTTAGCTGTTAGCTCGATATGGCGCGTGCTGGAGTAGCCATGTTTCTCACAGGCTCTGGTGAAGGCCGGATGTCACCGTTACTGGGCCCGTGTGTCACCTATGATGCAGCGTTTCAAATTTCCTGTATTCAATCATATCTACCTCGTCTTAGTGTACTCAAAGAGAGGACTGTATTAGAAATTAAGTGTAAATAATCGGCATACTTTTTAAGAACAGATGGGAGAGCGTTTTTGCGTGTTAGCAAGCTATTCCATTCCGCTAGCTTTTATCTCTGACAACTTTTGGTATCGAAGGATGAAGATAAATGACAATATGCGTGGAAAAAATCCTTACGACTGTAACACTGTAACAGTCTAACGCTTATTCATGAATAAAGAGCAAATACGTTTTCGTTTGGTCATAGTAACAAACAGATTGTGAGTGGAGTGGCACAGCACTGCGCAACCTGCCACCAGCTTGAACGTATATAATGGTTTATTTTCTCGGATATAGTCATATAGTCTTATAGTCAGCTGTAAATGTCATATTTGGGTTGAAGGCTATATTATACATAAATGAAATACTGCTGCAGTCCCAGTGATTCATTCCATTCTGGATGCAGTATATTTCATATTTAAACAAATTCCCAGAGGTTTGCAGGTCATGACAGTCTTTCTGTTTCTCTTTTCCAGAGTTTCTTGAAGTTGGTAAAAAGCAGCCAGCTTTGGATGTACTCTACGATGTCATCAAGAGCAAAAAACATCGAACATGGCAGAAGATACACGAGCCAATTATGCTCAAGTACTTGGAGCTCTGTGTGGACCTTCGCAAGAGCCACTTGGCAAAGGAGGGACTGTATCAGTACAAAAACATCTGTCAACAGGTTTGCACCCCTATTATACAAACAATATATTTTACTTCAGCTGAAAGTTATACATTTTAAAGTCGGAATGAAATTCACCCTATCAATTTTCTAATTGCATGTTAAAGATCTCATTGTGAACAATTCATCTTTGCACATCTTTCATTTTTTTTTAAATGCTTTGACCTCGATCTTCCAGTGAAAACGACAGACTATTCTCTGGTGATGCATATATGACTTCTCCAATCATTTAGTCTGCCTCCTTTAAAAATGCAAATGTTTTTTATTCCTTTTTCAATAATCTGTTACACTTGAATGTAATTCACAATATGGAATAAAAGATCTGTTGCTGCTTCTGTTTCATCGTGACTCTAAACTTTAGTTATTTTTGTCATAGTGCTCTTAGGTTATGTTTATACAATATTTCCAATCATGATGATTTTCAGTGAACTTTTTATTGTAGATTTAGTCTCAAATTTCTGTATAGATGAAAACAGACATGTAAATGATCAATTCCATCCTTCTTGAGGATGAAGTTACTGACTACTACTAATTATATGCTTCAGGTGAATATCAAATCTTTGGAAGATGTGGTCCGCGCTTACCTGAAACTCGCGGAAGAGAAGACCGAGACAGCGAAAGGGGAGTCTCAGCAGATGGTGCTGGACATTGAGGATCTGGACAACATTCAGACCCCAGAAAGGTACAGGAACCTAAAGGCCTAAACAGTTCCTTCCCACTGATGTCTCTATAAAGAATTTGTTGTTGTGTATTTTTACTTTTTTTGTGTAGTTTCAGAATTTCTTAACATCTAGAAATCATGTTAAATTTCAACATGCCGAAAGGACATCTACATTCTAATTCATTTTCATGAGTACAATCAAGTAAAAAAACAAAACCTTTTTACTTTTAGTGTTCTTTTGAGTGCTGTCAGTGGTGAAGACACTCAAGACCGCACTGACAGACTTTTGCTCACGCCTTGGGTCAAGTTCCTGTGGGAGTCGTACCGCCAGTGCCTGGACCTGCTAAGGAATAACTCCAAAGTTGAGCGCCTTTACCATGACATTGCTCAGCAAGGTCAGTGTACACTTCATATTATACAAAAACATATGTTTCTGGGAGTTTGAGCATATGGTACGGATAAGGGTTCATCATCTGTTGAGTTAGGGAATGTCGTTGCTTCCTATGGATGTAATTCAGGTTACTGTGGATAAATACATACACTACCATCCAAAATGGGATCGGCAAGATTATTTTAATGTTTCTGAAAGAAGTCTTTTATTCTCACCAAGGCTGCATTTATTTGATCAAGAATGCAGTAAGAACATTAATATTGAGAAATAGATTATTAACTATTAATCAAATATATTTTAAAGTAATGTATTCCTGTGATGTGACTCAGTGTCTAATATGCTGATTTGGTGCTCAAGAATTTTTTTTATGAATGCTTAAAAGGAGTTGTGCTGCTAAATATTTTTGTGGAAACGATGCATCTTTTTAAATTAAGATTCTTTGATGAATAAAAAGAACAGCATTTATTTAATATATAAAATTTTTTTAACATCATGAATGTCTTAACTGTCATTTTCAAAATTTACGTTTTGTTTGTACACTAATTTATAAAAAAATTTATAATTTTTCTCCCATAGCATTTAAGTTTTGCCTGCAGTACACCCGTAAAGCAGAGTTCCGTAAGCTGTGTGACAACCTGCGAATGCACCTGGGACAGATCCAACGTCATCACAACCAGAGCACCGCCATCAACCTGAACAACCCCGAGAGCCAGTCCATGCACCTTGAGACACGTCTGGTCCAGCTGGACAGCGCTATTAGCATGGAGCTGTGGCAGGTCTCTGTGCTCTATTGTAGGCACAAATGTTTCATAGAAATGTTAAATTCATAGAAATGTTGAATCTGATACATTCTAATATATTTAGTTGCATATAATTTCCATTTATACTGCTCCTTTAAACCTTTTATTTTTTTCAGTGCAAAGGAGAGATTACAGAAAAAGAAATAAAATACCAAAGAAATTTTGTTTTTGCTTGTTATATGTTGCACAAGCTTTGACTTGATGACTGATCACACTGGTTGCATTCAAACATAGGAAGCGTTCAAAGCAGTTGAAGACATCCATGGATTATTCGCCCTCTCAAAGAAGCCCCCTAAACCTCAGCTTATGGCCAACTACTACAACAAGGTGTCCACTGTATTCTGGAAGTCTGGCAATGCCTTATTCCATGCCTGTACCCTACACAGACTCTATCACCTCTCCCGAGAAATGCGCAAGAATCTCACCCAAGAAGAGATGCAGAGGTTAGCATCAAATAGGAGTGATTTTCAGCTTGAAGAAGAAATTGGATTAAATGCTTTGTTGAATTATTTTTCTGTCATTTTACTGTAGGGTAGTTTTCTCTTGTTCATTAAAACTTGAAAGTTTTTAATTGCTCTGTATATTGTACTCATTTCCCTCAGAATGTCCACTCGTGTGCTCTTGGCCACTCTGTCTATTCCCATCACCCCTGAGCGCACTGATATCGCACGTCTGTTGGACATGGATGGCATCATTGTGGAGAAACACCGCAGACTGGCTACTCTACTTGGCCTACAG